TACTAAGATACAGTTCGCCATGCAATGCAGGGTGATTCTCGTATCACTATTAGCAACCACATAGCAAGCTGATTGGTCAATAGCAAAATTACCTTTAATAGTACGAGTGTTGGATTCATCGTTTATCACCATTTGCGCCAAAAGTGCTGAAATATGCCTAAATACTGTGGAATACTTTATTTTCGCTGAAATTAATTTTCGCTGAAAAGGTTTTTTGGGCGTTTTGTATGGAATTTATTTTCACTGATTTCTGATGAGTTTAATGTGAAATATAGGAAAAAAAGTATATTCGCTGGATTTTATTTTCATGGAATCATCCCTTCAGCGAAAATAGCGAAAATAAATTCCAAGCGAAAATAAAGTATTCTACAGTATTCCGAAATTTTATGATTTTTTGTTCTTACCAGAGTGAGGACCCCCCCTTCATTGCATGGCCAGGAAAATAATCAGGATTTTCAGTTTTATTTTTGTCTTAATCGGTAACCAGCTGAGGCAAGCTTTTTAATTCTCTTAAAATACATACAATGTTTTTTGCCTGTGAATGTAGGGATCACCACAGAGTGTTGCAGCAGTGTAAACCTGTGAACAGATCATACAATCAGAATTTTCAATAAACTATAATTACATTCTATTGTTTCCAGGAACTAAACTCTTCACTATGCATGTCTAACCTTGGCAGTAAATGGAAAGAATTCTTGGAAGATAATCGGGATGTCAAATGGCAGTTTTACGGAGACCAGAGAGAGAGATTACTACGAATCTATCCGGGTATCCAAGATACTGATGAAGAGTGTTCATTGAAAGATTCACTGGCACCATTTAGAACTGTATGTATAATGAGGAATTATTTGTTTGCTCCAAATCACAGTCAAACCTGTGTATAGCGCTCACCTAAGAGACTTCATTAAAATGGTCTTTATGTCGGTAGGTTTTATTGTTTTTTTTTTTCATTGATCGTTAACTCATGATATTTGTCCAGAAAATATTGACTCTGACTCTTGCAGGAAAAGAGATCAAAATCAAATTGAGGAAATTAAAAATTTTTTAATAAATCTGCAAAAATATTCTTGAAAGGGTGGCCTCGTATAAAGACAGATGGTCTTTATACACAGGCTGGTCATACATTATGCCTTAGAACTGTCTAGAAATGGTCACTATAGCAGGTGGTCTTTATACACAGGCTGGCATACATTATGCCTTAAACTGTCTAGAAATT